CTCTCTCTCACACACACACACACGCACCTCATTTTTAATTTAATAAAGAATTATATCAGTATCTCTCTGCGAGAGAGAGAGAGAGAGAGAGAGAGAGAGAGAGAGAGATACTGATAATTCTTTCCTAAATTTTGTATCTACTACTAAAAATTGTTCAATCACATTTGAACAATTCGGTCACATAATCAATGTCATTGGTCAATTCTCTCTGTCTGAGATCTCGGACCAATTTCTATCGTGGATCAACGCAAGTCTTAATAGAACACAGATGTTAAATCAGAGAATGTTCACAGTCTACTACGTCTGATCTAGCTAAATGGTCAAGACAAAATTCGCGTCTTCAGCACCGAGATGACAAAAATTCCGGAGGCTGTTTTCCGGTTAATCCTCTGATACTGACGTAGGTCTATTGGACACTCAATTATAAATCTCTCTCTTTGTCAAAAACGTCAAACAATTCAATTTTTTATGTTACATCTGCAAATTTGGATCATTCTCTTCTTCAAATATATTTAACATTTACTCTTCTTTTATACAAGTTAATTATGTCATTTTTGTTTCTTGAAATTAATTAATATTTTTTTAATCAACATAAATGAATCGTATAGACTCAGCGTCAATAATTACGTTACAGACTTTGGCATCAGATCCGGAGGATTAAAAAAGACAATACATTTCTCCGTGTGTTTAAATTGTAAAATTATTCATGAGATTCGCCAGTGTACTGAATGTTAACGAAACATTGTGTTGATCTAAATTTCACACACGCAATGCACAAATCGCGTAACCGAGATGCAGCGGGTTAAAAATAAAAAAAAAAAGGTGACCAGTTGATGCCCCTCTCGATAAAATTTTCAGGTAGCTATCCGTATGATTTTCCAAAAAAAAAATATATGAATAAATTGTTTAGACGAGAGTCTAGACTGCAAAATGGAAACATAATAATAGGCGCTGTGTATTTCCGCGAATGTTATGCAACGAACGCGCACGAGTACCTTATAAACACAATATATATGCAAATATTTTCTTTTTACATAATAATCGACTTAAGTGCATCAGGAACAGATGTGCGGCGTGAAGAAGAAAGAAAAACAAATATGACACACACGTCTCGATTTTTAATTCGAAAAGAATCGTCGTTCTCGACAAAAAAAAAACTCTGATTAAATATATAATATTAATTTATTTTTTAACTCGCTGGCAAGCGAAAAACTGGGACAATTAGCAGACTCGCGGCTTACAGGAAAAAATTATGAAAAATTTTTCCGTTTATATATCATACCAGCTTGGTGTAAAAACGAACGACACGCGTAACTCTTTTTTCTTCATTCGTCATTATGCGCTATACTACGTTTCCACGTGTCAGCTCTTTTTTTTCTCGTTCTTTATTTTTTTTTTTTGTTAGAGAGAACTCTTGTCACTCGCGACTTAGTCTCGCAAAATCATGCATCACGCTCGTTCATGTGAGTGCAGGAATTACGAAACGAGTGACAATACGGAGCCGATAGAGCTACCTTCATCTTGCACGCGCGTGAAAGGTGTAATGACTTGCTCACTCTGTTGATTTCTGCACATGTAATGAGATGACAGCGACGTCGTGCGCTACAAAATACGTCTCGCGACCCGTGACTCTGCCGTTTATTTCCTTCGCGAGAGGAAATATTTTTTCCCCGGACTTTTATATTGCATTTATCCTTGTAAACAACAAGAATGCGATCGGATTTTAAATAGAGTATCAGGACACGTTGCCGAGCGCGCGTTATTAATATTTATCCCGTCACCACGTTATTTATTCGCAATATATCACCGTGTGTATTTACGTTATTATTTATTCTCCAAAGCAGACAGAGACTATCGCCTCTCGCACCTCGTCGCATAGAAACGGCTCATTGTTCCGGAAAACGTAATTTTTTTATCTATCAAGTTAAAATTTGGAAGAAACGTGCAGTTGCACCCTCTCCTATAAATATGAATTATTATTTTGTATTTTGCAATAAATATCATTAATCCTCTGAAATTAACAGTGAATCTAATTGAATCCATTCAATTATATTTATATTACATCTGTAATTTAGAATTGTCGTTAATTGTTATTAAAGTAAACTTAAAGTATTCATTGTTTTTTTTTATACCTAGTTGTGGTACTTTGGTCCTAAAAATTAATTGTGTGTGTGGTGCTTTTCATTTAACATAAATTAAATGGGTCTCACAGTCTGAAGGGTTAAATCGATTATTCGTAATAATTAGAATCATTATTAGCGTAAGAATTATTAGCAGTAAATACTAATAATTCTAGTAAAAGTTGTGGTACAAAAAAACTTAATCAGTAAGAGACATAAGCAGTAAAAAAATCAACATTTTGGATATGTATCTTACTATAATTTTATACTAACAAATAATCAAATATAACTGTAATATAGCACATACAACATGTGTTATATTATATTTATTGTATATTGTTGAGTATAAAATTATATCATCGATATTATGTTACTTTTAGTTGATGTTTACTGAGTATATTCAATGGAAGCTGGATTTTTGTAGCGGGTTTACATTTGATCTTGTTGATTTAATGACGTAAGTCCATCCAGTAACATTTAGCGTGAACTTAAGAATATATTACACCCACTTTTATAAACGTGTTTCTATACTTTTTTAAATTATATACGAATAAATTGTGTATATATATATAAGTTATGTATCTAATATTATATCTTTAATGGATACATTTTTATTATTTATTTACTTTATTTGTTATTTTTGTTATAAGCTTAAATTGAAAAAACAATGACATACTCAACAAAAATTTACATACTCAAAGTAATTTATGCAAAGTTTCATTACGACTTAGAGATTAGTTAGAAAGATTTAAAAAAATTAATATTTTGTTCATTTACGAAACAACTCTATAATCCCTGCATCTAAAGCTAAAATATTTAAAAATAAATGAAATTTTTTAATCATTTTGTAACACATTTCCAAAAAATTTCATTAGAACGCAGAATAAAAAGAAATAATATTTCTTATATAAAAAATAATTTTTGGTCCAAGTTCTAAATCGTCGCCAAATTTTTTTTCTATTACTTCTGTACAAACGCGATCGAAAATAATGTGTAAATTTTTCATTATTCTGAAAAAATACATATAATACGTCCTTAACGATATCCTTCTACATTCTACATCTCTCGTAAACAAGGTCTTTCGCAGGCAGAAAAGGACGGCGCTCCAAGTCTCATCTCTCTCTCTCTCTCTCTCTCTCTCTCTTTCTCTCTGAGTTTACTCGATTCGGGCTCGGCCTTTAAAATACGATCTCGCGCGAAACGGGCGCGCACGTGGGCACGGCACTCACCTCTCGTATTTCACCTGCATCGAGTGCGCGGAGGTGTCCTCCCAATAATTCTGCGTCTCCATCATCTTGCCGCATAGAACGGCGGTGGTACCGCTCGCCTCTCCGGAATCTCCGCAACGATCGTTTCCGCCCTAATAGCGCTTTCCTCTCCTCTTCGCTCCTCGCCCACCGCCGGCGCGTTATCGTCGCCCCGCGAGAATCCTCTCCGGGTCCGCGAGAGTCACGTCGGCTCACGCGCTCCTGTCACGTGACGGTATATATCTCGTGAGAGATGCGGGCGGATTCTCCGCTGTTCTCTCCCTCTTCCGCGAGCTCCGCTCCGGAGGAACTCCCGATCGCTTAGCCTTAGCTAAATCGGCGCGGATTGAATCAAGCCGTGACGTCAATGACGCGTAAACGCGGAAGAAAACCGTGCTGAGAGTACGCATGCACGCACACGCGGCACGACACGGACACGCCACGCAGCAAACGCCACGAATGCGCGAGATGCGGCGCGAGATTAGGTTAGTTTCGCGTCCACGGGCTCACTGACAGGCACAACTCGCGCGCGGCAAGTCGGCGACGCACGGAGGAAACATTCGCGCCCACACGACGCTCTGTCGCTCCGAGTCAATCCGAGTTCAGTCTCGCGACCGCACGCGCGATATTCGTGCTGGCGCCCTCTTTCTCCTGCCTCCCACCTTCCCGCGTGCGTTCACTCTCTTTCTCTCTCTACCTCTCTCTCTCTCTCTCTCTCTCTCTCCCTCCCCCTCCCTCCCTCTCTCCCTGTACACTGCCGTGCGTGGCGCCGGTCACGATTCACGTCTCGTTTCTTCTTTTTCACGAGAAATCGCTCCAACCGCTTCCCTCCTCTCTTCCTTCCGCCGTTTGTTATTCAACGACAATAATATCGTATTGTAATCACGATGTCCTCAAGTTCGAATCACGTTCCGCAAACCGCCGCTCCAGTTTCCATCACTTCCCTCTTCGCGCCGCTGATTATTTAACGATAATGATATCGTAATAATTGCGACGTCTTCAAGTTCGAATCAGGTTTCTTGCCACGGTTCCTCTCGCTTCCTCACCCTCACTTCGTTGTGCGAGAGAAATTATGCGCTCTACCGATTCCCACGCAGTTCGACGGTCGGCGGACCGTCTCTCGCGATCGTTTTCTCGGGAAGTCTCTTGTCGCTCCCGAGATTTATCTACTCCGCCGCTTCCTCTCGCATTCAGGTCTCAAGTCGCTCGAGGATATCACCGGGGCAGATAACACCCCTTAATTTTGTCAGGATGATGGCGACGTATACGTGCCTTCGTATCGCGTGGAAACCTCCAAAATTAAGATTCACGCGCTCGAACGTGACCCGATGGCGTTCGGAACGTGACGCGTGATAAGGCCGTTGACTCGTGACCGCGAAATAAAAATGACCGTGATACTCCGGCCAGAATCGTAAATTCAACCAATGCCGCCGACGAGTACTCGTGCGCGAAGACTTCGTCTCGGGGTACTCTCGGGATATCTCTCTCTCCCACTTTTTTCTTCGCCGGCGAAGAAAGATCGTGCGATGCACGCACGACGGATTCACTGAACTTTCGCGAGAATCGAAACTATCGAAACTATCGAAAGCGCTTGATCGCTTAGCCACCCACGATCGATCGATCAAAAAACGTAATCTCTTCGTACGGTATTTCACGGTTTGACGCTGTAACAGCCGCGAATCGTTCGAATTACAAATTTCCAACGCTCTCTGAGCACGACGCACGGCACGGCGCGGACACGGCGTGTCGTCACCTCGGCAGGGTTACGTGTAATCGCGCGCGGCCCTGTCCGACGCTCTCGCGATGAATCGCTGCCTGGTGGGAGTAAATCCGGAGCCTGCTTCGCTGCTCAGGTGCGGCTGCTACACTCGCGAGTTGGGCGTGCTACCTATCATTTATTAGTCTCTATTCACTATAGCAATGTGCATCATTAATCAATCCCTTCGGACTTGATTTTTATCGAAATTATGTTAAAACCATTTTTGTTCACTCGCAACTCAAAGACACTTTGATAAGTAATTCATACTAAAAAATTAATTTTTTCTCTCTATTGAATGTCTATCTCAATCTCTATTGAAATAGCAACGTACATCATTAACTCCTTTAAACCTGATTTTCATGGAACTGTTAAACAAATTTTATTTACTCAATTCAAAGGTACTTTATTAAGTAATTCATAAAAAATTAATTGAAATGTATATCTGGTTTTAAATGTAATTAGCGCATTTTGTGAAAATCAATTTTACACGGTTAAACTAAAACATAATCGCTTCAAAGATACGTTTTTAACTGTTTAATAACCATTACAAAATATTTATTTAACGATTTTTTGCTAATTTAAAATACTGTTTTATACGAGACAATTCGACGGATTAATAAATGTATATTTAACATTAACAATGTCCATTTATTTTTATGCGCCATAAAAGCGTCTCCGTTAAACGTTGTTTAAATGTTCGTTAAACGTAAATGATCTGCTTGGATTACAAAAATTAGAAAATAATTGATAATTTTCCCGAGTTCAGTTTTAATATTACAAACGAAAAGGAATGTTACTGGGGATTTAAACTTTATATTTGTTCACGGATTCGTAAAAGATTAATTGTGCAGATTGAAATCTGAACGAGTGAAATAATTATATCATTATTATTTAATTCTTGGCATCAAGGACGGCACTGAGAATTTCGATAAGATTTTTAATTAGTCATACTCTGAAGAAATTCTTACATCCTCAAAAAATAAAGATAACACTTATCAATACTAAAGGAATCTGATATTAATTTTATTGACGAAATCTAACATAATTGATACAAACAAAATATATTTCTTCGCGAAGTTAGCATTAGCAAAATAATTTTTTAAACTGTCTGCGTCAATGGAAATCAGAGCAATTTGTTTTTTTTTTAAAGAAATCTATTATTAAATTAAATCTATTATTAAATTAGTCAAACTAATCTCTAAACAGATAAGTAGATGATAAGTACTCATGAAAAAGAATTCTTAGACGATATCAAATATAGATGAAAACTTCATAAAAACCTAGACAAAAAGATAATATTTTTCATCATTATCTTCACATTGTTAACTATATTATTTATTGCGAAATACAATACTTGGTGAAAGAAGAAGGTCTTAACTCTCTCTCTTTCTCTTTTTCTCTCTCTTTCTTTCTGGTAAATAATTCTGTATGCAGATTTTAAACTATTCTAACATCAGAAAAAAGTAATATAATATTATTTACAAACCACAAGTACAAATCTGAATGACAAGAATAATATCTTATAGCTATTTTTCATATTTATAACTATTATTTATTGCTCGCTGTAAAATACAATAACTGATGAAAGAAAGATATGTTGACTCTCCTTTCTTCCGTTCTCATAGTAATTCTGTATAATTTCAGACTATTCTAGCGCCGGGAAAAAATTAATAGAATGTTACACCTTATGTAGAACAATACCGACAAATTATTATATGATGGATACGAACAATATTACTCATCGGCATATGAATATACGATGAATGACGGCGCGCTCGTGGAATCACGATAAGGTCGGAGCGTTCTTGACACATCACGTATTGCGATAATTGTACGATACGATATCTGAAAATAGTTTCGACGATGCGAGCACACATGCGCAACCATCAAAACAAAAATAAACACCAAGAAACGCGCTGCAGTATCGCATCACATCGCGATAGCTATCGTTCTCACGATAGTTATAATAGTCTCTCGCGCCGAAATCTCATTGTCAGCAGAAATCTTCGTGCGGATGCTTAGATACGATCATCACCGAAACTCGTGCTTTGCGAAACTATCAACAAATTTATTTGTGATATACAGATAATTCGCAGATTTATCGCGATTGGAAAAATTGCATTCAAGAAAAAGCAACTTTGCAACTGTACGATTCTTTAATATATATTGAAACAATTTAGAAAAAAAAAAATATATATATATAATAATAACGTTAAGTACAGGCAATAATCTTGGTTGGTTATATATATTTAATATTATGAGAAGATTTGCGCTAATTAATAACCAGCGTTGACTCCTATTGCCTGTACTTAACGTTATTATTATATATATTTTTCTAAATTCTTTCGATTAAAGGACTCTTTAAAAAACCTTATTAGTTTTTTTCAATTTCTTTAATATTGATTTAAACAATTAGATCTAAAAAAGTAAACTAAGAGCAATTACGTTAAAGAATCTTACAACAGTTGCAAAGCTGCTTTTTTGCTGAATACAGTAATGAATGGGAAAAGAAAAACATTCTCGTTTTTAGTTGTTTTTCTTATTAATTTCTTCGATCCAGCGATCAATCTGATTCTGCAAATAAAAGCGCAATAAATTTGATATCACGAAATATTATCAAAGTATTTAAATGTAGAAGACTTACAAGCTTCAGATCGATGTATGAATATATATAATAATATCTATTTTAACACAAGATATACTAATGATCGAGACTGCATGAATTGCTGATTAGACTTTGAAAAAAATTAGTTATTTTAAAGGGTTAGAAATAATATCTTTTTCTGAGCGAGTTGTTTTCGTAGAATCCCCTTTAAATACGTTTCCATTGCTGATCGTTAATTGCCGGAGTACGTGTATCACGATCATATCATTACTCATCGCTGTAACATTCGCTATTAAGTACACGTGCGAGGCGCGAAATTCGCATTGGATTTATCTTTCAAGTACATCTACGAAGAACACGGTAGGTACTCTTCTATTGCAAAGATTAATGGTTACGCAAAATTTTTCATCGTTGTTGTTCATGAAAAGAATTCTATTGCGCGCCAAAAAGTAAGCTAAGTTACTATTTAGCTTCTCAACTCTCACACAAATATTTGTATTAATTTTACGTTATATTAATAATATTATGAATTTATTGTTTAATAATTGCTCAATATCTCATATATAAGATAACTATGTTATGCAATTTTATTAATAATTTGCATTAATATATATTAACAAATAATGCACACAGAAAAAGAGAAAGTTGATATCTTTCTCTTTCGTATACAAATTAATTGCGTATATTTAATCCTCCAGAACTGACGTCAAAATCTGTAATACATTTACACGATTTTGTTAAAATATCTAAAAATTTAACGAGATATTGTTGTTGTCTTATCAAAATAATGATTTAGAAAACTGAAGTATAATGAACACGTGTTACAAAAAATTTTTATATTTCAGCTTAGTTTGAGAGTTTTTACATAATTATTTTGATACTCCTGTTAAAATTCTTTCAAAATTTATTTCTAGCTAAATTTTTAGATACTTTAGCAAAAAAAAACTTTTTTTCATAATAATACCGAGTTTATAAGATCCATTTAATTTATCTTAATTAAAAGGTACTAATTAATTTGAAGAAATAACTTATATGAAAAAAAATGAATGCTAAGTAAATTTTTAAAAAATCTATATTAGATATAACATAAAAAAATTAATTTTTTGACATTTCTGATTGAGTGGCTCCAGTAGATGCACCGTTAATTCCGAATTATATGAAATTAACGAAGAAATAACATATTTTCCACACGCTAATGCCATTCCTAAATCTATGTTTCTCATCTAATCGCACAACATATCGATGCAACATGTAATATCAGTGACATTGAAAATCAATCTCGTTATGGATCGGTGATTTGAAGTCATAAATTTCATCATTGAACATCTACAAACAAAGGACACTCAAAACAGATCTAATATCATAGTATAACAGAAAATAGCGCAATATCAATATTTGTTTTCCTAAAGAAGAAAAATTCTGAGAACAATTCTGTCGATTACAAAATTTAGTTTTTCCCAGAATACGGGAGAAATCAAATTCTTTACGTGAAAGAATGTTGATTTTAAGATCGGATAAACCAGATTTGAACGCGCCCGGCAAATGTCTCGAAGGGATTATTTAGTCCGCGAGAAGAAAAATGATGCCGACGATTGACAGGTATAAATAGCGAAATGCATGTTACGTACTACTTCTAAGTAACATGCAAGCGACTTTCAAGTGGACTATCAAGCCTTAACTGCCAGGCATCGTCGCGTCTCGTAACCGTCGACTGATGATGCAAATACAACGGACGACGTAAGGTGCAGCTCGCGTGTGAAAAAAAAAAACAAGGAGAGAAAAAAGAGAAAGAGAAAGAAAAATATCGGCTTTCCAGGTGAAAGTCCGCGCTGTTGAGAAGGGGCGAAGTGGGGACTCGCGACGCTACTGACCAAGACACGAAGCACAATTCTCGCGTTTCATTGGAATGACTGGGAAAGGGAAGAGAGAGAGAGAGAGAGAGAGAGTGGGGGGGGGTAGCGAAGTAGGAAGGAGAGGGTGCAAGGAAGGTAAAGTAAAGGGGTGGCCGGCGGAGAGTGGGGAGAGTGTGGCGGTTACCACGCTATGCGACACGTGCGCGTGACGTCACGCGGCCGGTCACGCGAGCACCGTGTGCTCCCGATCACGTGTCCTGTCACGCGCTCGCCGCTCCATTCTTCCCTCTCTGCTCTCTCTCTCTCTCTCTCTCTCTCTCTCTCTCTCTCTCTCTCTCTCTTCTCACTGCGGCCACTTCGCCGGCCGTTGGGTTCTCCTTTCTCGAATCTCGACGCGGCTACTCTACTCCTTTCGAGCGCGTATATGCATGCATATACGAACTCGCTCTCTCTTGCGGGAACTGATTACGTTCCACAAATGTACATATCTT